GTGTCACAGGGAGTCACGCTGACCCTTCCTGAGGGATGCTGAAGGTGCCGGGGTCCTGGCTTGGCAGGTGACGTGTCCGCGACACTTGTGGTATTTTAGGACTCACTTGTCATTCTTAAAAAGTGTGCGTGCTTTTACTGCACACGCTCCGTTTCGATAACAGAGTGGACCGGGGGCGGCCGGGAGAGAGGCTCCTGCGTTGAAGACAAGTGTGCATTGTGCCGTCGACGAAGAAGGGGCCGCTCAGCAATCGCACGGCTGCCTCACCGCGGCGTTGTCTCACCAAGCGTCTCATTTCCCCACGCGCCTCTCCCCTCGCGCAAATCAGAAAATAACAGCACTTTCTCGCCGAGAGCTCTCGGCTCCCCCTGCAATTTAATTACTGCCTGTGAAGGAGGGGAGCTGTCAGCTCTTGAGTTTGCTATTGTCTCCTGATGGAGGGCCCCTCGAAATCTTTTTATTTAGGCGTGCTATTTTCAAGAACGTTTCGAAAGGATCAGTTCCGGCTTTCCTGGTTATGAAGAGAGATTTTTAGCATTTGAATAAATAGGATGGTTGATTTTATTCCATAAAAGGAAATAACAGAGAAGCCGTTTCACAAAGAAAACAAGGCTCCCCCCCCCCCCGCCCCCAGTAAGAATAGCTGTTATGATCAAATTGTATTGTTCTGCTCAAAAACGTCGGTGATATGTGCCTTTAGGGGTAGGGGCAGGCCCATTTTAAGTTTCTGTGATCTTTATTTACTAGAGGCCTGGTGCATGAAATTCGTGCACTCAGAGGGGGTCCCTCAGCCCGGCCTACACCCTCTCGCAGTCCAGGAGCCCAGAGGGAGTGGGCCTGAGCCATCAGTCGGACATCCTTAGCGCTGCCATGGAAGCAGGAGAGGCTCCTGCCACTGCCGCTTCGTTCGCCAACCATGAGCCCGGCTTCTGGCTGAGTGGTGCTCACTGACCACCAGGGGACGGCTCCTGCATTGAGCATCTGCCCCCCTGGTGGTCAGTGCGCATCATAGTGACCAGTCGTTCCACAGTTTGGTGGATTTGCATATTAGTCTTTTATTATATAGGATTATTATTATTTATTGATAAGAGAGAGAGACAGACAGACAGACATCGACTTGTTCCACTTACTGATACGTTCGTTGATTTAGTCTTATATATGCCCTGACAGGGGATTGAACCCATAACCTTGACATATCGAGATGTCGTCGCTCTAACCAACTGAGCTACTGGGCCAGGGCCTAAGTTTCTGTAATATTTAAAAGTAAAGAGAATAAACCTTGGAAAGGCAATAGGGAAACGAGCCTCGATTTATTACTAATATTTTATTTTTCCAAAAGCATTCATTCCTTCCACAAATACTATTATTTATCAAGTTCCCACTGAGCATGCGCACCAGGACATGGGGTGGGAAGATGGACACGCAGGCCCAGAGGACAGCGTCCATCAGCAGGAGGCAAGTCCGTGAAGTAACTGCTGGTTCCGTGAGTGACAGGGAAGGACCAGTGGGCGGGGACAGACGACAGCAACACGGACCGGTTTGTACGGAAATGCTGTTCTCAGAAGGGTGATCTGAGGAGCTGGTGTTTGGGCTGAAATGAAAAGAGAACGAGCCAGAAGATTCAAAACAGACTAGTTTTTCGGAAACCTCACCAAGTATTGGTCCTCTTTGAGATCTCCTAAGAAACTTTAAAAATGCTTTTTCCAAAAAGGTCTGCATCTTGTGATCAATTTGTTCCTAAGTATCTTGTGTTTTTGTTTGTTTGTGTCATAAATTAGAAAATGAATGCAAACACCTTAAGTACTTACAAAGGCCGCGCTTACGAAAATACATCCATGTTCCAAACTGAGCTGCCCCTCAGGCGTGGCCCCGTCCTGGGGAGACCCCTGTGTGCGTGTCCCACCAGGTGGAGGGCGGGCTCACCTCCTGCGCGAGGAGAGGTCGGGCCCTAAGTGGCTGCCGGGTGTCCTTGGTGGGTTTCTGCATCTGCTACTGTAATTGTATGATTTCCTCCACGTGCACGTCGTGTGGGCATCCGCACTGAGATGTTTTTCTTTGGAACCGACCCCGGGCCCCTGGGGTCAAGCGGACAGGGTCCTCGCAGCATTTGGCCGGCTCCGTTTTTCGGACTTTCACGTCCATGTTCCCGAATGAGAATACAGCTGCCCCGCCCCTTCCTGAAGCTTCTGCAGTCGTTCCATGCGCTTCTGTTAAAACCCAAACCCCCACTTCAGGGCCTGGCGGCGGCCCGCTCCCCTGTCACCTTCCGCCGTCCCCGCACTCACGGGCTGGAACCGCCCGGAAGGACCCCCTGTCCTTCCTCACACGCGCCCGCTCGCGACGCACGGCACCTTTCCCTTGTCCAGCTCCACGTTCTCTCCCCTTCTAGGCGTGAGTCCTGGAGGGCCAGCCCACTGCTGTGCCCGCGCCTTAGCCCTCGCTCAGGCTAGAGGGCTGCCGAGAGGGTGGGAGAGGCCGGGATGAGCCGAACCCTCCCTCCGAGTTGGGCATGGCGCCCCCATCGCCCCATGCAGGTGGGCCGGTTCCCTCCCCCCTCCTGTCCCTGCTCACCCTCCGCACCCCACACCTCCCTGGGACTCGGGAACCCTCCCGCAGCGCAGCTGGGCCCTGCTCCCCACCTTCCCGGGCTCCCCACTCCCTGCAGGCTCGCGCCCTGCCCAAAGCCAGTTCCCCCTCTCGCGGTCCATCTGCCCCTCCATGTGTTTCCTGGGAACCCCTTTCCTGTTCCCTCTGCTGGGACAGACCGCTTTCTGCATTGCACGGCCGCCTCGGGGCGTTGTTATTTATTCTCACCGACTGCATCCCCCTCCAGGGAGAGCGGTCCGCTGGCGCAGTCAGCGGGGAGGGGACACGGCAGCCCTGGGCCTGGGCCTGGCTGCTCTGCCGCCAAGGCTGTGTGATCGCTCGCACTCCTTCCTCCCGGTCCCGGGTGGAAGGACGACTCGCGTGCCAAGCTTGCAGCGTTGGATGCAGATGCAGTGGAATCGTGCACGGGAAGTGTGTGGCCTCCTCGGTGGTCATCACCGTGGCGCGGGCACTGGTACTAGTGAGGGCTCGAGGTTGGAGTGGGATCCCGTGTCCTGTGCCCACGCTCTTAGTATTATGGCTGTCATTGAGCTGGGTGGCTAATGTCTGGCTGTATGTGACGGAGGCTAAGAATTACCCTCTAGCCTTGCTGTGAAATAGCAGTCTCCCCACCCCCAGCTTACAAGCGTTTATTACTTATTCCAGTTTTACAGCATTTGACGAGGTGCGGGAGGGGGGAGTGAGCGAGGAAGGCTTGCTGCTGCGTCTATGTTCCCACCAACAGAGGGCCAAGTAGCTGCCAGTTTGTGGAAAGAATTAGTCAAGCTTGCGTCCTCTCCCGCCCTCCCCGTGCTGTCTTCCAGCAGAGAACCGAGCTGAAGTCCTACAGGAGAGCTCCTCACACCCGTGTGGCTGGAGGGGCCTCCTGGGCCTGCCGGGCTTCTCAGTCCTACACCCCCACTTTAGTCAACTTTTATTATTTGTTTTTATTTTTTAAATACATATATATTTTTGGAGAGGGTGAGAGAAACAGAAACATCAATGATAAGAGAGAATCATTGATTGGCTGCCTCCTACACAACCCCGACTGGGGATTGAGCCCACAACCCAGGCATGTGCCCTGATCGGGAATTGAACCAGGACCTCCTGGTTCATAGGTTGTCACTCAGCCATTGCGCCACGCCGGCCGGGCCTGTTAACTTTTGTCGATGGTCCACGTTCAGTGAGTTCCTGTGGCCAAGGATTTGGTGCGATTAAAGTCAGCTAAAGGAAAGGGCATCTGACAATGGTATACTTTTCCAAATTTTGGGGAAAGGTACAGTCCAGGTCATTCTTAGTTTGGGTTAGGTGGTGTGTGCTTATTATAAACTAGAGGCCTGGTGCACAAAATTCGTGCACCGATAGGGTTCCTAGCTGCTGCCGGCTGCCAGCTGCCAGCCAGGGCCTCCCTTCCCCCAGCTGCCTGCTGCTGCTGCCAGCCAGGGCCTCCCTTCCCCTGGCTGCCTGCTGCTGCCGCCGGCCGGGGCCTCCCTTCCCGCAGTTGGCTGGCCGGCCCCACCCCCTGGTCAAACTCCCGGTCGAACTCCTGGTCAAGCAGACAATTTGCATATTAGGCTTTTATGATATAGGATTAGAGTTTCCGAGGATTGGAATCATGGGAGCTGACTGGGTGACGGGGACGCCTCTGGCCTGGAGGTTGGACTACATCCTGTCTGGAGGTTGTAACGCCAGTTAACTGAGCGTTTCCCCACAATGACGGGACACAGAGGCTGGGGGTGGGGGAGGGATGTGGGGGGGGGGGCGCAGCGAACAAAACCCTCCTGTAGCATAAACCCCAGCAGTACACACAGCAGAGGTGATGGAGTGTCTGTGCAGAATTTGGAGACAAGTTGTAGTTCCATTCCCTTTGTTTGGTGAATAGTGGGGCTGAGGCCCAGGGTTGGAGAGTTAGCGGGGGTCCTGTGCTCAGTGGGCTCAGACCTGGGACCCCCACTCAGCACCTCTGACCAAACCCAGTGTTCTCCTGATATGAACGAGGTTGCACACAGTAAATGCCGGTGACTTTGCAAAAAAAATGAAAAAGAAGAATTATTCTTCAGCTGTTTTGGTATCTATGTATATAAAAAGCTCATATGCAAAGTGTCCCCTCAGGAGTTCGACTGGGAGACCAGGAGTTGGATCGCTCGCTATGACATGCGCTGACCACCAGGGGGTGGGGCGGAATGAAGGAAGGTCCCGGCCAGCAGTGGCAGCCAGGGAAGGAAGGCCCCGGCTGGCAGCTGGGGAAGGAAGGCCCCAATCGGCCCTGATCTCCTGCCAGGCCGAGCGACCCTACCCGTGCACATATTTTGTGTACTGGGCCTCTAGTTTTGATATACTGTAATGTGCAGCCTAGACTCCTTGCTCAGTGGCTGGAATCCGTAGATCCACTTCTCTCTCTGTGTCCTGTTCAGCTCACGGAAGAGATCGGGAAGCTGGAAGACAAGGTGGAGTGTGCCAACACCGCACTGAGAGCAGACTGGGAGCGATGGAAGCAGAACATGCGGAACGACATCAAGTCCGCGTTTGCGGACACGGCCGAGCGGAACATCCACTACTATGAGCAGGTGATTATGACCCGGGATAGCGCCTCCTGTAAAAGGGCGTCTTCTCCTTTACTGCCCCCCTGGCCTGTGTTGGGAGAGTGGTAAGGAAGCAGGTGGCCCGTTCAAGAGCCTCTTGGTGGCTCATGCCCATAAACTTGCCGGTTAATGGGGTGATGCCACACCCGCCCACTGAGACACGTGTGTGGATGACCACAAGGAGGATGTGTTTTCTGTCTTCTTCCGCACAAGCTCCCAGGCGCTCACGCCGCTGAGCGCAAGATGAGGGGACACGCCACCGTTTCCTCTGGTGTCTTTCTTTTCGGTCTCTTGATCCGGAAGGATTCGAAGTCCTTGCGAGCACTTGATAATGCTTCCTCATCATCTCCTTTCTTATTCCCTCTTTCTCTCCCTTTCTTTTTTAAAAAAATATTTTAATTGATTTCAGAGAGGAAGAGAAAGATATAGAAACGTCAGTGATGAGAGGGAATCATTGATCAGCCACCTCCTGCACGCCCCTCACTGGGGATGGAGCTCACATCCAGGGCATGTGCCCTGACCAGGAATCGAACCTTGACCTCCTGGTTCATAGGTCGACGCTCAACCCCCGAGCCATGCTGGCCAGACTCTCCCTTTCTTATGTAATAAAGGGTTTGCAAAGTGAGGAAAGAAAAAACAATTTTCTTAGATACAGTTCAATTAGCATCACATACCATATTGCCATTTTGCAAGTTTTGTCCATCACAGCATTTGCTATCAGATGTTATGTTTTTAACACTTACCTCCAAGTAAATTATAGTTCTTTTTTTAATTTTTAATATGTTTTTATTGATTTTTTTTTATTTTAGAGAGAAAAGAAGGGAGAGAGAGAAAGAGAGAAACATTGATCGGCTGCCTCCTGCAGCCCGAAATCTGGGCATGTGCCCTGGCCGGGAATCGAACTGGCAACGTTTTGGTGCTTGGTACCATTGCCAACCATCTGAACCACACCAGCCGCAGTGTGAATTATAATTGGACTAGAGGCCCAGTGCACAAGATTCATGCACTGGTAGAGGGGGGTCCCTCAACACAGCCTGTGCCCTCTTGTAGTCCGGGACCCTTCGGGGGATGTCTGACTGCCGGCTTAGGCCCTCTCCAGGACCTTTTGCTCCTTACCGCCCGCCTGCTTGCTGCTCTTTACTGCTTGTCTCGATGCTCCTTAGTGCTGCCGTGGAGGCGGGAGAGGCTCCTGCCACCGCCGCTGCGTTCGCCAGCCATGAGCCTGGCTTCTAGCTAAGCGGCAGTCCCCCTGTGGGAGTGCACTGACCACCAGGGGGCAGCTCCTGCATTGAGCGTCTGCGCCTGGTGGTCAGCGCACATCATAGCGACTGGTCGTTCGCTGTTTGGTCGATTTGCATGTTAGGCTTTTATTATATTGGATGTGTGAACTTTATTATAACTTCAGGAAACCCCACAATTACTTGTTCTGTTGTTTTTTTCCTGAGTAACTTCTAAGTGGTTGGCAGGTCGTCCCAGCGCAATGGGGAGGGTGGAGCCCTTCAGTCCAGGCTCCCTAATTTGCACACAGACTGTGTTGTGGGCCTGGACCGCCACCCACCGTTTGCTGTTGTCCGTTAACTTCAGAATCTCTCAGACACACAGGGAAGTGGAATGCTCCAGAATCGTCCCATTCCCTTTGTAAGTTTAATCACATTCTTATGGAAATACTTCTTTTTTCATCAACATTTGCACAAGGCCCCAGCGGGGTTTGTTTCTAGTGTGATGGATGAAATACGGAACGAACACTTGCCTCTGGACTTACTTTTATGAAGACAAATGGTCACAGCTGGTTTATAACTTAAAATTTAAATACCAAAGTGATCGAGGAAAATCAGATTATGAATATAAGGCAGAGGTCTGTACCAGAAGCCAATTATTGTCATGGTGAATGTGTGTGGATGTGCGAATTTACCCAGAGGCAGTTGACAGCAAATATAAAACAGGAATTTTATAAAATGAGGCCATTCCCACTTTGTCCTGTAGGATCGATAAGTAGGAATACATTTATGGAGTCTTTTTTTTTTTTAATGAGAAGAACAAAACAATGGAACCCCAAATCCAGTTGAACGTGAGTGAATCGTTTCAAAGTCTACTGGTACCCAGATAACTGCGGACAGTGATTCCTGTCACAGTAGGAAGGGACGCACAACCCACAATCATGCTGGACCAAGTACATGGCTGTTTTCTAGTTGTTCCCCAGCAGTAGCTGTTTGTGTCATTGATGCTGATGATAGAGATGCTGATGATAGAGACGATGATGATAGAGACGATGATAGAGATGTTGATGATAGAGATGATAGAGATGTTGATGATAGAGACGATGATGATAGAGATGATAGAGATGTTGATGATAGAGATGATAGAGATGTTGATGATAGAGACGATGATAGAGATGATAGAGATGTTGATGATAGAGATGATGATAGAGATGTTGATGATAGAGACGATGATGATAGAGATGATAGAGATGATGATAGAGATGATGATAGAGATGCTGATGATGATAGAGATGCTGATGATGATAGAGATGCTGATGATGATGGAGATGCTGATGATAGAGATGACGATGATAGAGATGATGATGGTGATAATGATGGTGATGATGATGGCAAAGAGATTTGGAAGAAAGTGATCCTTACTATGTCGTACGAATTGAAAGGATAGATGCTTTGAAAGCTTAATTTTTATGTCATAACCATGAAAAGAGTACGTCTTGTTAACTTTTTTTGCCAAGTGCAGCAGTTTGTTGTTAGCTGGACATAATACTCAGAGTAACAGAATGTGTTCCTTCGCACAGTTTATTTTAGAATTACTAGTTAATGGGTGGAGGTCCTTGTTCTGTCGCCTTATCTTTCTGGTTATAAAATTAATACCAGGGCACTCAGAACAAACAAGAACAGCAACAACAGAGCTCAGTCCTCTGACAAGGAGGGAGGAAATGAAGAGAGCCCATGGCCTTGTCGCCTCGAGTGGCACTTTAAGCACCATTATCGGAAAACGATTTGCTGTGTCCAATCAGACTATTGTTCAGTGTCTGCAGGGCCCTTTCTGAGCGTGTCGGCATAAAGACATGTGGCCGCGCCTGTCCAGGGTGGCTCGGTTGGTTGGGCATCGTCCCATGCACCAAGAGGTCGCTGGTTCAATTCCCAGTGGGGGCACTTGGCTGGGTGGCGGGCTCGATCCCCAGTAAGGGGCGTGCAGCAGGCAGCCGATCCATGTTTCTCTCTCAGCGATCTCTCTCTCTCTCTCTCTCTAAAAATCAATAAAAACATATTAAAAAAGAACAACATGAGGTTGCATGGCCAGGTCAGAGGTCACGTCATTCCAGACGCTGTCAGTCTTCTATGTCATTGCCTCATGTAAAATCACTCATTTAAGGATCTAATCTGTCAAGTAGAGGTGTTGGTACTCCTCCTGTCACCCCCTCCCATCCACACAGTCCTCATAGCATCTGAGGAAAATAAAATTAGAAAACATGTGCGATGCTGTCACACAAAGCACCTCACCACCTCGCCTGCGCCTCGAGAATCGTCCAGGAACCCAGAAGTAAGTGTGGTCTTCCTCTCCATGTTCTCGGCTTCGGGTGCCCAGACACAGGGACCTTGATGTTTGGAATGTAATTCCATACGGAACTGGGCGCGCCTCGCGTGACTGGCTTGCTGTTAGTAAAGATGATGATGATACGATACCGCAAATGTGCGCGTGGAAAAGATACGCCTTCGAATGTGGCTCCTGGATTAATTCTTCCTCTGAGACTTGCCATGCAGGAGAGGCCCAGCTTTCCCGGGTGTGAAAGTGAGAAGCGGAACCTCTCTCTTCAGCAGACCTTGAGTGAGAGCTTAGACTCAGGACAAAGCGGTGAAACAATGGACCACAAGGTGGCGTTTCCAGCTGATGAGCCCTGTGCCTTCACTCCTGCAGTTAAGGCTTGACAGGTGCACAGTTATTACTGGTATATTCTTGAGAGAGACATAAGAAATTTTTAGAAAACATGCAGATTTCGTCATTCTGAAGTTGTTGGTATTTCTAACATCGGAAGTGGGCAGATGACTCTCAGGAGCTGAATGTAGGCTTTCCCCCAAATGGAATCTATGGAAATCTTGAGCTGCTGCAAAACAGCAGGACTGCTTTCCTCTAGTGACATGGCCTCCAGTGTCTCTCTAGATGGCTGACTTCTCAAAACTTTACAGCAGGCGGCTCTCAAAGCTTCCGTGACGGGTTTGAGTCTCAGGGTTCGGTGGTAAAGAGCAGTTACTAAAAGGTCGCACAGCTCGTCGCCCTCATCTTAGGCCTGCTCTACGACTTTGATAACGTCATTGATTTTGCAACCATATTGGCTCCAGGTAGAGATGTTTACATGTTTGAGCTTCAGTATTTCCTCAAACATCAGTGATGTTGTCTGCGGCCAAGGCCATTGGGACACTCAGTGGACCCGCAGCCACGGCTCCCACCAGTAGGTTAGTAGAGAGATGCACTTACACCGTGCTCTCTGAATACGCTTTCAGATCAGGGGGGAGACAGGAGGCATCACAATTGCTGCCTTAATATGGGAATTCCTGATTTTAAAAGAAAAACATGCTAAGGTTTGGCTGTTACCACATTTTTTAAATTAATGGTTATTTTACTTGGTTGCCATAGGTAGTATTGATGTGTTTATGTGATCATTTGGATGAAACTAACTTTTCTTTTTTCAAGTTTTCTGTTGCAATTGCAGTTGACATTCGGGATTATGTTTTATTAGTTTCAGGTGAACAGCATGGTGGTTAGACAGTCACGTGCTTTTCAAAGTGGTACCCCCGGTATTTCCAGTTCCCACCTGGCACCGTACAGAAATATGACAGTGTGATTGCCCATATTCCCTATGCTGTGCTTTGTATCTCTAAGGCGATTCTGAAATGGCCACTGTGTACTTCTAACCCCCTTCACCTTTTTCACTCAGCCCCCGAACCCCGTCTCCTCTGACAACCATCAATCTGTCCTCCGGATCTATCAGTCTGTTTGGATGAAACTAAATTTTCTGTTAGGTTGTAGCATCTATAGCATCTATATAATAAAAGCCTAAGTGACCCTGGTGGTTAGTGCGCTCACAGGGGGAGCCTCCGGCTGCTCAGCCAGAAGCCGGGCTCACGGCTGGCGAGTGCAGCGGTGGTGGCGAGAGCCTCTCCCACTACCACAGCAGCACTAAGGAGCAGTGAGCCAAGCGGTAAGGATTGAGCAGGCGGGAAAGTAAAGAGCAAGAGATCCCGGATCCCCTGGGGATCGGGCCTAAGCCGGCAGGTGGACATCCTGAGGGGTCCCTGACTGCGAGAGGGCACAGGCCGGGCTGAGGGACCCCTCCCCACCCCAGTGCATAATTTCGTGCACCGGGCCTCTAGTTACCTATAAAAATACTAAACTTTATGTTGGCGTTATTCCATGGTGGCTAAGAGCATGGGCTGTGGGCAGGTGCAACGGTGACCTTGAGCTGGAAGCCCTTGAAGACTTATACTTGAGGTTCTTCATCTCTAAAGCACTAAAAATAACAGGGCCCTCATCACAGATCTGCCTGCATGCTAGGCTGTGTGTGTGTGTGTGTGTGTGTGTGTGTGTGTCGAATAGAATGAAGACAGATGAAAGAAAAGGCCTAGAAGCAACATTGACCATTCTGGGTAAGTCACTAAAATAAATGATTTTGAAGCTTTCTTACTCAGAAATATTTTTCTGGCGTCTCAACCAGCTTATCCTTTAAGTCACAACTTCTTTCCCTTGAGCCTGAAATTGCCAACATAGAACGTAAGTCTCCAAGCTGCTCGACAGACACATGAAATGCATGTCACCCTTACTCCGTGCCCAGCACAAAGGGAGGTTTTAGTAAACGCCGACCCCTGGAGGAAGAGCAGCCACTGGCACTGCATCTCCATGCTGTATGAATCTTTGGACATCCTTTGCGATGATGATCATCCTACAAATATCGAAGATGGTGGGGAGGGGCAGTGTTGCCCCTGATGTGTCTCCACACCTCATCCTGCCCCACAGAGCCAGGCAGACTCGACCATTCGTGGGGTCGTCATCAGTCCTGGGACACCCGCCCTTTTAGTTCTCGGGTGACACTTGATGGGCACACATAGTCCGCGCCCTTCTCCTGGGCTTGTGAAAACGGCCCAAAGAAGGACCAAGGTTCGCCTGCAGTCCCACTGGGTCCGAACGGCCTCATGCCCCACTGGCTCAGAAACTATTCATCCTTAAATGCAGAAGCTTCCGTGGGAGCTCTGTTGTGCCTGTGGGAGCCCCATTCGTGTCCTCATTTGTTCTTTAGGAAACTTGGCCCCCTCCCTGTGGGGTCACCACCCATGTGCCTCTTCTAAAGGCGCCAGCATCGCTGCCTCGTGGAAATGGCAAGAGATTCACTTTCGCTGGACAGTACAGGTCACAATTCCCTTAACTGTCAGATACACGGCGTGATTTCCTCAAAGCATTGAAGCCAACGAAATAGAACGCATGGGGGACCATGACACATGATTCAACTAGAAGTGGGATTCCTGTGCTGATTCTCCAGTGAGGATAAAGCTAGAACGAGCCGACGGGTTCCATGAACGTTCAGGCCAACGGAGATACCGGGCACTTTCAGGTGTTGCTCTGAGTTTTTAGGTTTTTAGCTCACGTCACAAGTTGTAATGATTTCAGAGTCAAAAAAATCAGTCCCTTGATGGTGTATTTATTTTCTTCCACCACTGAAAAAAGGCTGCTCTGCTGTCTTCTCGCTCACACCGTTTGCATGAGAAATGCTGTCATCCTTGTCTTCTGTATATAGCACACAAGCTGTTAAGATTATCCCGTGGATGCAGTTCGCACGGGTACCGGGGGCTAGGCCATGGGGAGGATCGGCCCCAGGCAAGGTCACAACCCCGTTTATGTCTGTGCGTCTTCTTCAGTCTCCTGATCCCTTTCTTGCTTCCCGAGCCCAGCAATGGCCAGCTCGCCCCAGCGGGGCCCACAGACCCTCATCGCATCATCGCTAACTTTCTGAGCACTTGCTTTGTGCGGGGTGATCTGCCTAGAGGTTTGTGCAGGTCATGGAACTGCCACTTCACAGCTGCTTTCGTGGTGAGTGAGCACTGTCAGTGACCTGGGTTTCAGCTGAAGAAACTCGGATCTAGACCATCAGCCTGTGCGAACCCACCTGCTGCTGTGGGACTCAGACCCGATGGAGGCATGGTTGCGTCTCCATCCTCTGCCTGGACGTCTCACACCTGCCCTCTCACAGACAAACGCTCCATCTTTCCCTGGATCACTTAGTGGGGTACCAGTGGGCCATTTCAGCAAACTAATCCTGGCTCATCTTTTAACCTTGTATAGGCTTTCCTTGTACTGAGCAGTCGTTTCCCTCATTAAGAATTAAAGTATAGCTCTACCCGGTTTGGCTCAGTGGATAGAGTGTCAGCCCGTGGACTGAAGGGTCCTGGGTTTGATTCCAGTCAAGGGCATGCGCCCCGGTTGCAGGCTCGATCATTGTCCCTGATTGGGGTTCGTGCAGGAGGCAACCAATAGATGTCTCTCTCACATTGATGTTTCTTGCTCTCTCTGTCTCTCCCTCCTTCCACTCTCTCTCAAATTCAATGGGAAAATATCCTCTGGTGAGATTAATAAAATGTTTTTTTGAAAAGAATTAAAATGTGTAGAACAGGACAAGGGCCTGGCAAGCTGGTGGGAGAGTGGAGTGGGGCGGATGGCTGTGGGCCGGTGATACCGGGCCGCCCATCCTTGAACACTGACCGTGAGCCACTGCTCATCTCCTCGTGTGTGTTTTCGTTCCTCAGTGCCTTGCTACCTGGGAATCCTTCCTCACAGCACAGTCCGACCTCTATGCCAAAGAACCCCCTGAAGATAAACCTTAGTCCCACGGAAGGCCGGCTTCTGTGTGACCTTGGAGAGACAGCATCGGTTGGCCAAAGTGATGCCCTTGGGATGGGTCGTATCCTTTCTAAAGTGGATGGAAATGTCCCACAGGGTCTGGGAAACCAACGGGGGAGCTCGGGAGTTGCAGATCGCTGGTATAAATTGGGATGTACGTGTATAGCTTAGTTTTCATTATGTTCGTAAATTTGTATGCCCACAATGAGATATAGAACATCTTAAGTATTTGTCCGTGGAACGTGTCATTCTAAATATATTGTAAAGACTCAATTTTAATAAAAAGTTTGATATGAAAGGACTGGCTGTGGTGTGTTCTTTTTCTACAGAACCTGAAGCAGATTCTAATATGAATTCAGCGGATAGTAACAGTCACGTTTATTTCATCCCAGCTTCCTCTGAAATGCTACTCACTTCAATTAAGAACTTGAAATAATTATAAAAAACTAGAGGCCTGGTGCACAAAAATTCGTGCACTCGGGGGTGGGGGATCAGCCTGGCCTGTGCCCTCTCGCAGCCTGGGACTCCTCAGGGGATGTCCACTTGCCAGCTTAGGCCCACTATGGCAGGCCAGGAGCCCTCGGGGGATGTCTGACTGCCGGCTTAAACATGAATGATAACTGGCATCCTTAGCGCTCCACAGCCAACCTTCTGTGACCCCTCTCCCCGCTCATCTCTATCTAGCTCTCTGCTGTACCACCTGGAGCTTCTGGTGTGGGTTTCTTGAGCTGGTTGTCACGTGTGCTGGGATGGTTATTGTTAGTAACGTGAAATATGATTCCTGGATCCTTCATCATCAAAACAACAACAAAATAGCATAACATATTTGACTTTTACTTAAAAGAAAGACCTACCCTATGGTTTACACGTACCTTTCATTGAACACGGGCCTGCTTTCCATACCTGCTCCCGGAACACTGGGTTCCTTCTGTTCAGCATCTATTCCCCAGGCCCAGCACGAAAGGAACCAGGAAACGTCTCCTGATGCCCCGCGTTCCCAACACCAGATGGAGAGTGACAGCCCTGCCGCAGAGAAGATGGAAAACTGCCTGGAGACAGATCCTTGGCAGCCCAGCTCTGACATCGAGCTGACAGATGTCAAGATAACGCTCCTGCGTGTTTGATCGTGGCTTTGGTAAACTCTCAGAGTAGTTAGAGGTAGCATGGAATTCTGCGTGCACTGTGAGAAGCAACAACATGAAGCATTTGGAGCATTTACAATGCTGACCTTGTGTGTTAGGTATTCCAGGCCCCATCTCCCATCTGTGGAAGGGGAAGTCAGCCTGCCAGACCCACAGTGCTGGGAAGTATGAGAGGAAATTATGCACAGCTGACTTGGGCTACTTGGACCAAAAAAAAAAAGCATGAAATTCTACATCCGTTTCCCCTTATTCCTTCCTCCTTGCCCCCCATACTTGAAACTTGCAGCCCATCCATGAATTTATCCTGAGACAAAACAAGCCACGGGTCCTAGCTCCTGAGGTATATTGTAGTAAGAAAGGTTCCGTGTAGGATGCAAGTGTGTGAGTGAAAATAGACATAGGTACATATTTGAGTTGATGTTTATGTACACAGCATGTGTGCATGTGCGGGGTGGCAGCGTGTGCAGTGATTAGTGGAAAGATGAGTGCACTAGAAATCACCGGAGCGGGAAGCCCATTGCATGGACACTGATGCTTATAGTCCTGCCTCCTTTCAGTGAACCACAGCTCCCTCGGGTTTGAAAATATACTTACGTTCATCTTCATACAGTTACTGAGCAATGAGATGCTTTCCAGTGGGTAGCTGTGCGTGTGTGTGTGTGTGTGTGTGTGTGTGTGTGCGTGTGTGTGTGCCCTCATCCCTTGGGGAGTGTGACTCTTTCAGGCCATAATTACATTCGTTCCAGGGGGCAAAGCGGACCTCCCCCAGCCTGTTGATACTTCTCTCGGTGTAAGCCATAGAGATGGAAGAGGTGGCTCGTGTTTTCCAGTCTACAGCATGATGCCGGGGGAATCTTCCGGTAAGATCAGAAGAACAGTGCTTTCTCATTTTAAGGGAAATCATCCCCGAACATGCAATTTAAATAGCTCTTTGGAGCCGGGTAAGTGAGGCATTTGATAATTATGCATACAAGGCGTTCTCCTCCTACCTGAAGTATTGTGATTACTGATTCCAAGATGACGTTGCGATCACTTTTAGGTGGTTTACTGGAACAATCTGAGATGGTGAAATCTTTTGAAACCCTTCGCGTGGACCTGTCGCCATCCGTGCATCCACTCGGGGCTAATGCGCTAGCTCCTCAGATGTTCCCCTGCGGACAGGTGCCCCGCCCGCCATCTGGGGGCTGTGGACGGTAACGGGAGGTTACAGAGGCGCCGCTGGCCCTCAGGAGCTGCAAGTTCCCTGAGAGACGGACGCCATGCACAGGCAACAAGTCTCCATCGGTGCCGGCACGCGCGCAGCCCTAGGGTTGCCATAAGAAAGCCCCAACGAGGTGGCTCAGGACAGCAGAGGTTTACTGCCTCACGAAATGGAGTCACTCGGGGAAAATCCCACATCAACAACCCAAATTTAACTAAGTTTTTATGCTTGACTCTCCCAGGGAAGGAAGGCCTAGGTCACCCGCCGGGAGGCCTGACCGGGCTCCTGGACAGCCCTTTGCTCCAATTCGGAAGGTAACCGTGCTCTAACCAGCCGGCAACCCCTGCTGGGACGTCTGTGTTGCTCCTCACCTTGATCTATAAAAACCTCTCACCTTCGCTCTTCCGAGTTCCGTTCTATCTGCAGAATTTTGTCTTTTAACTCCATCCAATAGTCCGAGCTAAAGAACATTGTCGATAAAACGCTGGGAATTCTGAAATGCAAAGATGTCGGTGGCTATAAGAACATGGCCAATGCACTGACAGGTTATGGTTCATTACCTGTCGCCCGGAAGGCCTGGCTGGTACTGGTTGTGGTTGGAGTCAGATTGGACTCTTGCCGGGATGCCTCCCGTAAGACCGTGTGCCCCTGGGGCTGCCACCCGTGCAGGCCAGGCCCTGGGACTGAGGTCAGCCACACAGAATAGGCTCAGTACCCGTTGAACTGGACTTAGAATAAAAATCTGGATAATTCACTATTTTTTCAAACTCCCACAGGACTTCGATCGCAATGTCTACTGAGGCCAGTCGTTCAGGTGGTACCTTCCGTCTGCATGAGCCATTTCTCTGCCTCTGTGAATCGGTTTTACAGTGCTGACTTGGGAGGGTCTTTTTGTCCAGTTCTGTGGTCATGAGTCTAAAGCAACGCCTAAGACCTTCTCCTAAATTTCATAATAATTTGCCCGCATTTTGCTGGAGATGGTCCCAGGGGGAACTTAGTCCAACCACAAATGTGTTGGGGATTGAGGGGCCTAAAATAGGGATGCAATTTTTTATTCTCTCTGAGCTCAGTCTTGGCTACCGGCTGCCAGGGACCTAGAGCTCCCCGGGCAGACCCTGCCCTTTGAGCACGTTCTGCCGCGAGATGCCCTGGTCCAGAGAACGTGCCGTCTGTCCGAGCTGGTCTGAGGGCTGTTTGAGGTTGCGATCTTGTAAACCGGTCTGAAAATAGCCCCCTTTTCAGGACCACCAATTTCTGCAGTTAAGGCACCTTCACCTGAACCCCACCGGCACCAGGAGGAGGGTGGCGTCTCCCCCACGAGCTGAGCGGCTGGACCCTCTGCTCTTAAAAGGGGAGGAAGCTGTCATCAGAGGGACGCACCGAAATGCCTCGGGTCAGGAATGAACAGAGAACGGGGCTTCCTTGGTGCCGGGCAGCTGTGTCACCGGCGGGCTAACGAGCATGGATGTTTCCTGCAGTGCCACGCAAGGAGGAAACGGAAAACAGCGCCCACATGCGCCCCCGGAACTTGGGGGTCATGTCATCGCTTCCATCTGCGTGATGCTCTGCCCCGGTTGCTATGGGACCCGGTGTAGATGACATGTCACAAGTTTCATGAGGCCTCGGGGCTCAGGAAGGGTTTGATGGCAGGTGTTTCAAGCCAAAACCTCAGCGGGGGTCCCGTGGAGTCATTGGTTCACACTTCACACCGGGCAGTGAATGTAAGTGGCTGCTCTGGCCACTAGGAGGAGCTGCAGGCCGCTCCATCCACTGCACATCACCCGGACTCTGCTCACTTGCAGGAGCCAAAGCCTTCAAGTGTGAGGGTCCTAGAGTTGGCATCTCGCCCAGCCGGCGTGGCTCCGTGGTTGAGCATTGACCTATGAACCAGGAGGTCACGGTTCGCTCCCCAGTCAGGGCACATGCCCAGGTTGCAGGCTCAATCTCCAGTGTGGGGCGCACAGGAGGCAGACGATCCATGCTTCCTTCTCAGCATTGATATTTCTATCTCTCCCTCTCCCTTCCTCTCTGAAATCAGTTAAATATGTATATTTAATTGGGGGAGGGGGAGGCGTCCATTTGTGCATGTCAGGCCCTGGGAGAGTGATGTCAGCCACACAGCATATACTCAGTACTCATTGAACCAGACTTAGAATAAAAACTATATATACTAGAGGCCCAGTGCACAAAATTCATGTGGGGGAGGGGGTGTCCCTCAGCCTGGCCGGCACCCTCTCCAATCTGGGATCCCTCTCACAATCCAGAACCACTGGCTCCTAAGCATTCACCTGCCTGCCTGCCTGATGCCCCTAACTGCTCTCCCCTCCTGGCCTAAACCTTCTAACTGCCCATCTGCTCTCCTTTCCTCTCCACGCCTTTAGACCCCTGCGCAGAAGTGCTGAGAGCTCTCTGCTGAGGCCCCGCCCCTGTCCTGATGCCCCACTTTGGGCCAGGTGGCGTTGTGGGCCTGTGTGCGGCTCCTGGCGGCAGCCTCATGTCCTGGTGGTGCAAGTCCCTGCCCCTGTCCCCGCCCACCAGCTCCTGTGCGCACACAGCCTGTTGAACGGCCGTGACTGGGACATTACCTCTCTCTCTCTCTCTCAACCTCTCTCTCTCTCTCTCTCTCTCTCTCTCTCTCTCTCTCTCTCTCTCTATATATATATATATATATATATATCTACACTAATAAAAGAGAAAAATGGTAATTGGCATACGGCGCTACCCTTTTCATTGGCTAATCAGGGCTACATGCAAATTAACTGCCAACTAAGATGGCGGCTAATTTGCATATGTAGGCACAATGCAGGGAGGCGAAAGGGAAAGCAGGAAGAAGCCCCCTGCCACTGACAGTGATCAGAAACCCAGGGGGGAGCTAAGAGGTGGGGGGCAGGGCAAAGGTGGCCGGGCCGCCTTTGCCCTGCCCCCCAGCCATGATCGGAGAATCAGGCACCTTTG